ACGCTTTTTTTCACAATAATACTAGTATTTTTCGTTCATTATTGTTTTAAGTTAATTTTAAAAATTATTTTTAACTTTTTAGTTCGATGTGCTTTAAAGGCGTGTTTTTTAGTTTTTTTAAACTATATTTATTTTTTGTGATAACTCGTGGGGCCATTGAAATTTATACGGTACAATGAAAATAACTACTATGTGCTGGGTTTTTAACAATTCATAATAAGAACAATACAATTAAATTCCATATGGATGACATTTACTGATAAAAAGAGTTTACTTTTTTTAAGTGCAATATACTTAAATTACCATCATAATATATTCGGCGCTTTTGCTTGATAAATTTTTTTACATCATCTGGATCATGACATTCAACACCCAAACGTTTTGCCACTTTGTATATACGATTTACATCATTAATATCGAGAAAATTCTTTCCATTTGATAAACGCTTAAAACAATCGATATTTTCTGCACTACGTGTAGACAATATTTCCTCTTTTTGTATTTGAATACTGTTTAATTTGAATAGGCTCAAAAATTTGTCAAGTCCTGTTTCATCGTCTGTAATCATAAAAAAGTTAATGAATTATTCGTACATATGTTACGAACAGATTATTCCGTCCTTCATCAACATTAACAATTAACAACTTTACTAGTGCCTGATAAGCACAAACGACCATACAGCTCAACCATTAGTATGCGACGCGCAGGTGTAAAGAAACCGATTACACATTTTTCTTAAATTAATTAAAAACATAACGAAGGAAGTCGTCATTTTACTACACTTGCGGCAATTTACCTTTATTGATCTGATAACTTAATTCGGACAGTATTATTGTGGTTACTAAAATAAATACTTTAAATGTTTACTTATTGTTATTATTTCAGGTTGTGTACACTCTACGCCGTCGCTCACCTAACTTGGATACCACTAACATCTCTAGAGATCCAGTCAGGTTCTATTTTAAATAATACAAAATAGAAATAAATGCTTTTATCCTTGTTAATTGAGAGTCTATGTTTATTTGGTCACGAAACCGCTAATTGATCTTTTAGTGGGATATAAATTACATAGTGCCATTGTTACCACGTTTTAGCCAACTATTAGGACCCTAGCTGGAAAGCACGTTGCATAGAGATAAATAAAACCAAATATAACACTATTATTAAGTTTGTATAAATTTTATAATGATTTTATAATGTTTCGTCTTAAAAAATGTTGAAAAATGTTTTGTGGCACAATAAAAGAATTAGGAATGAAAAAATTATATATACCTATTCGAAAATGTTTTAACCACTTACCCTTATAATATTTTAGAAAAATTACAATTACTTGCATTAACTACAAATTGATGAGTGTAGAAATTTTGTTTTCTTCCAGCTAAAAAAAATAATTTAAGACTGCCACTGGTTCAAGTAGAAATCTATTGTAATATCTACAATTGTATAATTACCATTTTTAGAGTCAAGTATTTTCATCATAATATCATATTCCTCATCAGTATTGTCCTGACTAAAACATGCAAAAATTGATTTCAAATCGTCAATAGTTAATTTTTTTGTATCATTTGAAGTGATTCCATTATAAATTTTAGTCAACAAATCAATTTTCTCATCAATATTATCATTCTAAAAAATCATTATGCTATTATTAAAAAAATGATATAAAATAGATAAAAAATTAATAAAATTTATATTTTGATGAAATCAGTATATATATTTTTTTCTAAAATAGACTTTATAATATTAATGTCAAAATATGTAACTTATAATTTATTTTAGAAAAATAAATCTGCGAATAGTTGAATACTTATAAGGAAGATATTATTTTTTATGATAATAATAATTTGAATTATATACATTATGAGGTGTTTCATATTGTATAATTGACTGCAAAATTGATTTTCGGGTTAGGTGCGATTACGAGCTTGTTTCATGTGGGAAATAAAAGTGAACTGTATAAGAGTTAAGGATGATAATCACTATATGACAAATTAATCTTATTGCAAAAACAAAGATGTTGTATTAAACATGACGAGAATAAGAAAATATTATATATAACGGAGGGAGGGATAATTTAAATTTAATTTCACAATACAACAGAGATAAAAAAACGGTAGCACAGTGTTGACGTAGCATAGTTAGAACAAGTATAGATGATATCTCACAGCGATTAAAATTAATATAATAAGAAACGCTTCGATGTATATTTGTAGATAGTGTTTAATTCTAAGAAATTGGTGCATAATTACAAAAGCAACATCAACTCCTATTTTCTTAATTATAAAAATTAAATATAGTATGAAATTGATATTTAATAATTTAATATTGGAATTTTTACGGACAAATTATAAAAAAAATTAAAATAGTATATATTGTTACTTCTATGACAATTATGAGCATTTCTAAATTATAATTTTTCATAAAAATCAACTTTAAAGGAACATTAAAATAAGTTATTTTAAATTGAAATTTTACATGAATTATTTTAATTATTTACATTAAAAGTCTATGGGTGTGTAAGCATTATAAATAAAAAAAGAAATTTAAGACAAAAATATCATACGGTAGCCATTTTCACTGTGAAGACTAAATAAAGTCCGAAATTTTTTTTTATTTCCATAATAAAGTATAATACATAAGGTTTAATTTAAGATATATATTATAGTGTCAGTATTTCTGGAACACTTAAAAAAGTTAAGTTGTAAAAGTTAATTTTTTGTTTGACATCAAAAAGTTGTCATTTTGAATTCCCTCTGTGGGCAGATAAAGGTTAAAATTTATAAAAACAATAAACCAAATGATAGGTAAAGACATCAAGCATCTGTGAAAAAAAGTTATATTGATTTGTTAATTTTTGAAAAATTTATAGTAGTTTTAAGAAAAAAAACAAAACCCAGCACAGGGGGGTCGCGGCACAGTTGTAACGTGGTATAGTTGGATCAAGTATAATGATATCTGACAGTGATTGAAATCACTATCAAAAATAAACGCTTCGATGCAAATCTTTAGATAGTGCTTAATTTAAAAAAAATTGGTGTTTTATTCCAAAAGCTACTTGATCTGCTGGTTCCTTATTAATATCTCGATAAAGATAAAGTATGTCAAATCAAAAAGGGTTTATTAAAAAATATTATTTCTCATAAAAAAATTGTGTGGATCCATAAACTTTTCAATAAGTTATAGCATTATAAAGTTAAATATAATATAAATAATAAAATCGAGAATTTTCACACGAAAATAGCATTCGGTAGCCATTTTCGCCGTGAAGACAAGTCCAGAGGTCAAATTTTTTTTTTTCAAATTAAAGTATATTACATTAGCTTTAATTTAAGATATATATAAAAGTGTCAGACCTTCCGGAACATTTTCAAAAGTTATGTTGAAAAAGTAAATTTTTTGTGAAAAAGTTGTCACATTAAATCCCCCCCTGTGGGCAGGTTAAGTGTCAGATTTACAAAAAAATTACTAAATGATAAGTAAAGACATCAACCATATATATAAAAAAAAATTATATTGATATGTTCATTTTTGAAAAAGTTAGAGCATTATTAAGTTAAAAATATAAAAAAAAATTATTTTACAAAAATCGTAATTTTTTATTAACTTTGATGTCAACTTTCAC